AAAAGCTTTAGTTTACTGAAATGTTTGCTTTTTTCAAAGCCATTTTCAAGATCTTGATACTATTTGTCTTTGAAGATGGCACGGAAAAAGAAAAATAACATACTAGAGCCCTTTTCAAAAGACACTCCTCAGATTATGTTGAATAATGACTAAGGGTAAGTAAAAACTTCAAGATGCGAATCGAAAGATACATGAGAAGAACAAGGTCGCGATTGATTAGTTCTTTGACTTTTCCGACTTGTCCCGACCGACTTGTCCCGACCGACTTGTCCCGACCGACTTGTCCCGACCGACTTGTCCCGACCGACTTGTCCCGACCGACTTGTCCCGACCGACTTGTCCCGACTTCGTGAACAGAAGAGTTTTTCTATAGTTTCGTTTGCAAACTTAATCAAAGCAATTATACCTTGACTACAAAGTCTGTTTTAAGTATTTCTACGTCCCATAGGCGCAGACTTATATTTTTTCCAAGGAGTAGGGATGTTCAAAAATTAATTGCAATTGCCAATGAAGGCTGCCTATGGCAGAGGGTAGAAAGAGGCTTAGCTGGGGGGTTTTAAGGTGATCTTCTATGTACTTTTAATGTTCGCTATTGTTTGATCTTGATTAAATCTCTTAAGGTGATTTTTATGCGTGAAACCAAGAATATTAAAAGTTAGGCTAACAAATTGATAGCCAATTTATGTATTTCCAAGAGAGCGCTTAGCCCCCAAATTTTTATCCGGATGGGCTCAAGCCCCAGAGCCTCCCTTCTTTTAAGTCCGCGCCTATGCTACTTCCACAATCACTTGAAGACAAATTGAAGCAGATTTTACATGCTTTTGTGCCCGTTGATAGCTGCGTCCTCGATAGCTGTGGTATAAAAAGTCTGTTCATTGAATTTTCCCCAGAATATTTCAGAACATTGAAAAAGGTTTTTTTCATTTCAATAAAAAGTTTTCAATAAGGTGATTACTTGATAAAAGAAGGAAGGTAAAAACATGTTTATAAAGATAAAGTCCAATGAACAATTTCCTCCTCAATTGAATGGCAGGTTCCAACTTTTTGCCTGAGATACATTCGGAGTTCCTTCAACCACAACCTTATACTTATCAAGCTTTGGATCAAATTTGAAGTTAAGGCAGCCACTCGTCTTGCTGGGATTCGGCAGCATCTTGCACCAAAGGCTCGCTAAAAGAAGGAAGATAATAATTACACGAACTTTGCTTCATGCAAGGATGCCGGGAACCAGGGCCTAAAATAAGCGTGGATCTGACACACTTTGTGGAGTTGTAAATTAAAATTGTGGAACTGTAATTGTAGAAAGTGTGGATTTGTAAATGTAAATAATGCATGTTCTTAAAAGTGCAGCATAAAATACCAACCGAAACGCCTGAGAAAGAAATGGGAACATTTTTTCAATTCGAAGTGAATGCCCAATCCCAGCCTTATGTATTGCACTCATCTTTTATAAGAAAATTGCGATAAGAAATAAGCAATGGACAATAAAAAAGAATTAAGGAACTTCAGAACTCGAAGCTTGAGTACATGCGGAGAAAAATCAATTGCGCTTTATGATATTGTTGTGTGCTATTTTGAAGTAATATGGACTCTGTATACAGCTTTGATTTCAAGACATCATCTCAATTTAGTTTACTTTTATGATTTGCTTTAAAAAAGACACTGAGCCTTAAGACCAAGAGTAATGTATTTTAGGGTTTATATGATATCTTTCAGTAGATTTCAGAAAACGCTATAAAGCAATTCAACTAAGGTGTTTTAAATTGGAGAAGCATTGGAAAAATTCCTCTCAAGGCTACAGCAGCTGAACGATGATAAGCCTTTCGGTGGTAGCTGGGAAGAGCATTCAATTGGGAATGTTGCATAACAGGGACTATAGTCCTCCTCAACTTTTTTGCAATAATAGGTTAGAAAATATTTTGAAAGTTTACGCTAACGAACGCATTAGTAGCAGTTCTGCTGGGAACACGTTTTTGTTCTTTTTGTTGGTGCTTTATCTTGTGGTCAAAGATAAATTTGGATTTTATCTAGCTCGGTTTTGTTTCTTTAATGTTAATTGAAATCTTCTTTTAATCGTTTTGTTTATGAATAAGGACATATAGAAGCGAATATTTTCTGTGAGGAGTGTTTTCCGGTGTTTCAAAGGGCGTGGCCGTAAAAAATTTAGGGGCAAGCCTCCTTGTCCCGTTCCAGCCACTCCCTTGTGGGCTGGTGCCAGTGTGACCTGATCTAGCGCACTATTAGCATGATATTGGCCAAAAATCGTCACTTAGCATAAAGTCTAGCATAATTTGGAATCTAGCATAACTCTGGCATAATTCTGACATTATTTAAAAAAATAATTGTTTCCATTGACCAATTGTCTATCGTTACCAAATGCAAACACTTTACACCAGCATCTGTGGTTTCATTTAGGGAGTAAATTGTGACTTTTTCACCTTCAGGATTTTGCCAGTTGTTTTGAATGGTTGGCAGCCACATATTATGTGGTTGGCAGCCAAATGCAGCCAGCTAAACGCAGTATACAAAAAAGCTAAATTTTTGCTAATTATTGGGAATGATAGCGTAATCAAAATTTGCTTTGTAGGTTACAAAAGTTTTCACTTGCTTTTATCATAAACTGTCTGTTATCTTTTACTTTGTTTCATCATTCATAATTTGCAATTTTGAAATTATTTTAAAAAGTTTTGAATATTATCTGTGCAAAATTTTTTGTTTCCTTTGCATTTTCGTTGTTTTTTAAACATGCGGCCAGAATTCAGCCAAATTTTCTTCTGCCAAATCAATTTGTGGCGTCCAAGGGGTTTTGAAAAACTGCCAAAATGGAGAAATTTGACCATCAAACCATGAATCTAAATTGCCTTTTTGTTTAAGAAGAATGAGTGCACTGGGTTGTCAAAAAGGTCAAATTGCAACTCTCGCCACTTGATATTCTGAGCATGCATTGGCCTCCTTCTCGAGCAGGGTTGCCTTGATTTGAAATCTATCATAATTTTTGCAAATCTAGCACAATCTTATGACAAATTTGGCGTAATTCCAAAATTTAGATCTGGTGCGTGGTTTCTGCATCAAAAACAAGATGCTTTACAAACAAACATTACAAACAAGGGGGTAAAGGTCATGCTTTCAAGCTGGGCGAAAAGAGAATAAGAAGAAACAAGCACAATTGTACATCGGTGAGAGAAGAGTTTATAATATCAAAACGTTTTGAAACAAACAAATTTGATGGCAAAAATTATTTGATGAGCTGAATGCAGTTAAAAAGTTTTTATAAGTAAAACAGACTTGAGCAAGCTTCGCCCAGAAAGCTTCGTCCCGGACAAAATATTTCATTCAATCATGCATTAAATTTTGAGAAATAAACGACTGAGATCGCAGAGATCTGAGACTTGTTCTCAGAGGAATTCGAGTTCCGAGAAAAGCTGCAAAGATATGGCTCCCAAAAACCAAAAAACACCAAAGACTGGCAAGAAAGGCTGATTTAAGGGAATTTTTAAAGGTGTAAGGGAATAAAATAACTTAGACAGAGATCCGAACAAACCATGTTAAAGAGTTTTCTTTCGATAACTTTTTGCTCACATATTAAGACATAGCTATATGTAGCTAGTTTTCATATTAAATCCATATATTGTAAAGAAGGACA